TCGCTCGGGGGAGCCGTAGAGACAGGGAGATGGCTCCTCTCGGGGGTTTTATACTTGGTCGACTCTTCCACACCGGCCAGATGCCTTGGAGGAGGTCGGAGTACCCATACTTTTTCTTCTTGGTTCTTTCGGCAAAGTCACGTAGAATGGAAATGATAAAATTATAAAAATAAAACATAATAAAATAAATCTCACGACGAATAAAATAATAAAAATAAAACATTTCATTATGTTTTATTTTTGTTATTTTATTATTTCCCTTCTACGTGACTTTACCGAAAGAACCAAGAAGATGAATCCCTGCAGTCACGAAAGCTTTAAATCGAAATTTACCCATACTTTATCCCACCGCACGCAGCGCCCGCCCGATCGCCATGCTGCGGTGCTCGCGCGCGCGTACGGAATGGAGTAGGACAAACGGAGGGGGGGGAATTAGAATGAATAAATATCATTGGGGGGGGGGGGGGAGAAAATACGAACGAAAGAAAACAAAATTGGGGAAGAAGGAAAATAAGAACGAATGAAGAAAGATAATTGGGGGAGGGGGGTGTAAGGAAAATTTAGAACGAAAGAATAAAGATAATTGGGGGTGATGAAGGAAAATAAGAACAAAAGAAGATAATTGGAGAGGAGGAGGAGGGAAGGAAAATTAGAACGAAAAAGAAAGTAAGTTGAATGGCAACAAGTTGGCGACGTGAGATGCAGTCACAACTGAAAAGTTCGCGGCGCTTTCAAAACAAAAGGAAAACCGCGGGGCAATTGACAATTGAAGCGAGTTGCTACACGCCTCGTGGGCGTTGTGTGTGCGTGAAATATAAAACAACGTCTCTCCTTGCCAAGTCAGAGATAAAGTCGGGGGTAGGTGAGCGGGTGGGTGGGTGGGGGGTCGAACAATCCGGTAGGCGCGTGCGTAGCGGTGCGTCTCACCAGATTGTGCACAAGGCTCAGCTCACCGAGGCGAGTGAGCGAGCCGAATCGACGATAACGATAATAATAATTGGCGCCGCCGTTCAACGTTTGTGACAATTTTATTTCAGTTTTGCCGCGTGTCAGGTGGTGGTAGGGTTCTTGACGACACAAACTCGGTCGGATCATCACAACCACGTGACCCAACCCCAGAACGTCAACTGTGACTCACGAAACGTCTCACTTCATTGACACTGGGCACAAGAACGTTGGCACCGAAGTCTTAGAATTAATCCGTGAGAGAACTCTATGTGGAGAGACCGATCTATGCGATATTCTTCACGCCGACGCTAATGATTATTATTGTATCCGGTTGTGGAGTGATTCGCGTGCTGCTCTATTAGCCCAGCACCCGAATTCAATTCCCACTCACGGTCAGCGTGGGTGATGGAAATCTGGAACCGGTCCTGGGGCATCTCCTAGGTTGACTCGGCCTTAAACGACTACCTGGTGCGATGTGTAACCATCAGCACTGGGCAGCCAAAGGCAGTCAGGCGTGGTGCTGGCCACCCACCCCCTCGTGTGCCACGCCGGCCTTCATAGGAGTTCGGTAACAGCACTTGCCCCAACAGTCTGTTAAGGCTATACGGGGGGGATCTTTGTCTTTGTACATATGTGGGGAGCAGTGGGACGGTGGTTGGCGCGCTGCCCTACGGACCTGGCGCACGTCTTTGGCTGCGTCCTACTTTCCGGAGCGTCCTATAGTGCCGGAAAATCCGGTAACCACCGCTAACTTTAGGAACGCGGCAGACGAATCGAGCGGTGCATCTTCGGCGCGAAAGAATGTTTCGCTTTTAAGGCTCGTAAACTCGGAAGGCTCCGTGGAAATTTATTTATAAAATCCCTTTCAAGACAAACTTAGCCCCAAGGCAATTATTCCTCCCAAGTGACAGCAGGAGGGTGAACACATCTTAAGATACTTTTTGGGTTTTTCGGTAAAGTCACGTAGATATAACAATAAAAATTAAAAATCACGACGTTTCGATCGCAACACAAGCAATCGTCCTCAGGTGAAATTGTAGATATTAAAAAAAATCACGTAAATATAAAAATTATAAAAAAATCACGACGTTCGATCGCAACACAAGCACTCGTCCTCAGGTGAAAAAACTATTTCTATTTCACCTGAGGACGATTGCTTGTGTTGCGATGGAAACGTCGTGATTTTTTTTATATTATATTTCTATCTACGTGACTTTACCGAAAGACCCAAAGAGTATGAATTCCTCCAGTCACGAAAGCTTCAAGTCGAAATATTAAGATAGAAACAACTGTCACGTGCAGAACCCCTTCTCATCAAGACTCCTGCGCAGGGCCGAGCTCAGGGTCCAGACTACTATCTCGACTATTACCGTATTATGCGGATTATAAGCCACAAACTACAATTTAAAAGCCAAAAGTTTGAGTTGCATCTTATAATCCGGAAGGTGTGCGTACGCGAGAGGCCAGATTTGTACAAGTTTAGCAACACCGGCCACACGTTTGGCATGCGTCTTGCTTTCTGTCGTGCCTGGTATTCTGGTGAATACGGTAATGCTGTAACAATAGAACCACACCATAAATGGATTTCAGAGGAAGAGAGAGGCAGATATAAGCAGAGGAGAAGAGGGAGGACTTGAACAGGGGCAGGTGAAAGGGGAGAGGTAGGAGAGTGCGTGGAGGGGAGTGGAGTGAGATGAGAGGGGAGAGGTAGGAGAGTGCGTGGAGGGGAGTGGAGTGAAATGAGAGGGGAGAGGTAGGAGAGTGTGTGGAGGAGAGTGGAGTGAAATGAGAGGGGAGAGGTAGGAGAGTGCGTGGAGGGGAGTGGAGTGAGATGAGAGGAGAAAGGTAGGAGAGTGCGTGGAGGGGAGTAGAGTGAGATGAGAGGGGAGAGGTAGGAGAGTGCGTGGAGGGGAGTAGAGTGAGATGAGAGGGGAGAGGTAGGAGAGTGTGTGGAGGGGAGTGGAGCGAGATGAGAAGGGGAGAGGTAGGAGAGTGCGTGGAGGGGAGTGGAGTGAGATGAGAGGTAGGAGAGTGCGTGGAGGGGAGTAGAGTGAGATGAGAGGGGAGAGGTAGGAGAGTGCGTGGAGGGGAGTAGAGTGAGATGAGAGTGGAGAGGTAGGAGAGCGTGTGGAGGGGAGTGGAGTGAGGTGAGACGGGAGAGGTAGGCATATCGACGAGGGCGAGTGTGATCTGCCGTGATAGGACAATAATATGTTTGGGAAGTAGCTCTAATGCCCCAGCCTGGGTCAGCATCATTAGCATCAGCCTCAACCCTCTCACAATGACATCAGATTATTTGGCGATGCTGCACAAGCACAATTGACGAATAAAACCTCAACACATTCGTGTATAATAGAAATATATAATAGGCGACGTTTCAGGCGATGGCCCTACTTCTGAGCACATATATTGGTCCATTCAGCCAATAGGCTGATGGACTAAAACACAGACTTTTATATTTATTCACAGGCGAAGAAACAAATGAAGAGTTTTGATTGTGTTTGCTTTCACTCAAACTCGGTCGGGGAAATTTCGTGTTTTTGTATTCTATGTTGTTGTAACGGTCTGACCCCGTGCCCCCTACTGGACATATGCGAAAAAAGAGCTTCATAGCTCATCGGATTCCTCCCGCAGTATGAACAAACATTTAGATTCTGATTCTGCATCCCTTAGGGCAAGGGAGATGTGGGAGCAAGAACAGCAAAAAGAATCCATCTCCCATCCCTGCGTAAACAATACCCACAATGCCCTCTGTTGCGCCTCCCTCCCACCCCCCGGATTGGATTAGTCAACAACAGCAACAACAAAAAAACGCCACAACCAAGTGGCTTAAAAACAAAACGAAAACCCAGAGAGAACGAGAAGCAGAAAACAAATAAAAGTGTTGCTCTCAGGCTCGCGAGCAAGCAAGTGGCATCTCAACAGTGGTAACAAAGAGGAAATAATGAAATAAAGAAACAAAGGCCAATCTTTGTAGTTTCACATTTCACAATTACCCCTACTTACTGCTGCCATTGTCTCCCTTACAGGGCCCTAGGACTGTCGCTATGGCGATGGTGAGGCACAACATTCATGCAGGCGGACAATTTCCTTGTTGTTTTTGCTGCCGTTTAATTTACATCGTTTGCGAATTTTGCTTTTAATTCAGCACTGAAATAAAAAAAGAGAGGTAATTCAAATAAACAAAAAAATGCTGCGCTGGCAAAGCAAACTTGGTTTCTGAGTACCTGGCAACGTGAAACAACCGTTACAGTTTGCACGCCGCTGCTGCGTATTATTATAATCATTTCATCACCCTTCACACAGTGTTGTGTGTTCACTTCCAGCATCCCCTAGCCGGTGAACGGGACCGCTGGTCAAATGGCGGTGTTGTCGTCCCCCCGTTTCTGCTCAATTAAACGGCGCCATGAAGCCAGCGCTTAAATTTAAAGTTCAACGGCCATGCAAATCGGTCGTGCTGCTACACAAACGGGCCGGGGATAAGCGACCGCTAGGTCAGATTCTCACTGACGAGCCGTGCCTGCTGGGATTATTCAGTTGTGGAATGAACCATCCGCGTTTTTTTTTTTTGCGGTTGCTAGCTGCCCTCTCCCCAGATGCGTTTTCGGGTTGTGCCGCACGGCAGGTTTGGCTCCATGACTGCTACGTGTCGAAAAAGGAGCTCCCGGGCATGTGGAGGAAGAGAGAAACGTCGGACATCGCACCGAACGGCAATGTGAACGAGACCAATCGTCGATGGGTTCGATAGACAACGGACCAACACAGCGATCTTTGTTGGAGGCTGTGGACAATTTACCCTTTCCCATTCCCGATGACGTTTGTTTACGTCATCAAAAAAATAATCTTTCAAGGCCATGCGGGAGGGTGTGTGGCAGTTTGGCGCCAGCCATCGTAGAGTGTGGTCGTGTCGGCACAGTTCTCTGCGGTGAGTACAATGTCTTTAAAAGAAACGCTTGCCGTATTTCGGCTGGGTGGAGAGTCCATCGAGGCCAAACAGCTGCAGGACAACGACTTCCCGCGATTGACACTGCAAAGGCGCGCGAGCAACTCACTGTTTTCGTCAGGTTGCAGAAATCGGTGGACAGCAGCGTCGACTTCAGATTGGACGATCGGCAAGCGATCTCAGCGATGGCCGTGACGGGTTGCGCCGTCTCCATGGCAACTGTTGCTATGGGGCGTGTCCCGCCGGGTGGAGTGGGCGGAGTCTGCGGAGGAAGTGGACGGAGCTTGGCCTAGGCAGAGAGGAGGGAAAATGAACGATGGGAAAATTAACTACGATCCGAAAACCTACGGTGGTTATTGATGCCACATTAAAGTGGCCTCGTGGTTAGTGCCTTGCACCGATAATCCTGACGCCAAGCGAATATCAAAAAACAAATGGCGGCGTGTCAGTCGCCTCCTCCTCACTTTTCTTTGGCAACTGCCACGGTTACCGTTCACGTGAATTGCACTCATCGATTCCTCCACCCGCGTCTCATCCACACGCCGTTCGACCACCACGCTTGCAGGCCACAGCAACTCACCCCACTCACCCACCTCACCAACACTGCAAGGTCACAACGCTTTTCCCAGTGCCGGATTATCCTAGTAGCAAAAGTAGCTACATATGCTACGGGCCCCGCACTTACAAGGGCCCCGCGCTAAATGCTTTCAAGCTATCAATTCCAAGTTCAGTGATTCTGCACTTGCTCTATTACTATTGTACTATACTGCCTTCAACTTTCATGAACGACTGGGTGTTTAGGGTTATCGATTTGATCCTTATGGCGGTACCCCGGGGTACCAAATAATACAAAATGGCCGAGGCAATTAAATATTTTTTTTCTGCGACACTATTTTTTCCAGGGGTGTACTTAACTCCGCGACTGGGGTAACCAATCAATCCGACATCAGTGCTACTCCGCGATATCGAAACGCAGCGAGGACGATTGCGCTGAAACCCTGAAAGCTCGTACGCACAGTAGTGGTGCATCGTGTACAGCTCGTCGAGATGAGTCGATTGCCGCATCGCCGACCATCAACAGACTAAAAATGACTGCATCACGGACATTAAGCGAGAGCCGGGGTACCATGGTACCGCGGGGTACTGCCATAGGGTTAATTTGTCGTATTATCTGGCTGTATAGCAAATACAAAAATTAAATTACTTTCTTGTGCAATATAAAATTTGTATTTCAATATCTATGTATTTTTTTCTATTTAAGGCCCCTTTATAACAACATATGCTACAGGCCCCGCACTAGCTCAGTCCGGCACTGCTTCTCCCTCTGCTTCGTTCTGCAACACTACTCCAATTTGGAACTCCCACCAAAATCATCATTGTCGTCTCCTATTCCCAAGCACGTATGAAAACTTCGCGCTATGCCAAGAAACGTGTTTATTCTTAACCGTTACACACCTTTGTTGGTGCTGTTTTATTAAAACCCTAGTTTTGTGAGAGCTTCGACAATTGCACACGTGTTTTCCACTGATGCAATTAGATATCCTTCTCATAGTCTGTAAATTCCAGTCATAAATGGCATTTCACGCTAATATATCTTCACTCGTATCACAATTAACGTTGACCCGGGTGCATTCTCATAAATCGTAAATACAGTAAAGGCATCTAGAATAAGCATAGATATTAGTTCGAAGAATCGACGCGCACGTGAGCATCCCAAACGCCTTCTCAAGCGTTACAGAATCAGAATCCGAACATTTATTTGCATTCGGAGGAATCCGATGAGCTGTGAAGCCCCTTTTTGCGCGGGGATGTCACTCACTTCGAGCTTGGCTCTCACTCGTTCCGCTGACCCGTTGGAGGCATGTCCGAAGGGAGTCACATGGGCTGAGGACATGCTGCAATCGGAGAGAAGACGCACAAAGGCAGGGACTGGTGACGATCAGGAAGAGGTCTACCGGTGCACAACAGAAGACATTTTGTCACGTGCTGCGTGCGACGGGATTGCAGGGTCCGCCCGTGTCTGTCCGCCACTCGCCGAGCTCCAGTGGCTTCCGGTTGCAGAACGAATATCATTATAAGGTCGTGCTCATTGCACACAAAGTGCTCGCCGCAAATGAAGCACAATAGCTTTGCTGATCTCATCAAGGAGCATAAACCATCACGCGAACTCCGGTCCTCCTCGCAGCAGCAGCTTTCGGTTTAGCCATCGAACAAAGATGGTCACCGCATCGCGCACGTTCAGATGCGCTTCTGCGGCCGTCTGGAATGCTCTTCCGTCCAAAATTAAAAAGCCACTGGAGTAATGCACTTTTAAATCTAGATGGTAAAGTCATTGCTCTAGAACTGCTTTTTACGTTGAGTTGTCCTTCCCTCGCACTTCCGATTCGTGTGGTTGGCTACATATGGTCCAAAAGAAGTTTCAAATACAATATACATGACAGATGCTCCTTGCCTTATACACTTGGTGAAGCTTAAGTAAACCCGATATTTCAGTGCAGAAACTGGCTCATTCGACACCCATTTCTCACTGTCACATGCGAGCTGAACCAGCACAGGTCCAGCATGGCACGGGTGTTTTTTTTTCCACTGGCAATTTACACAGCCAAGCTACGTCGACCTTACAAGACGACGTATCAATTTGACTTGGGGAGGCTGGGGGGGAGGCATGCAGTGCTAGGGGTAAGGCATAGTGACGTGTGCAATGCACGCGACGTCAGTACACCTCAACCAATGCGTCACAACGTGAATCTTAAAACCCTTTTTCCCGTTCCGTTGACGTACGTGTACGTCTTTAGTTTTTCTTCCGGAGCCCGAAGAAAAACTAAAATGAAATAACGTTATCAGTAGCGAGGCTCCCACAAGCCCATGCGTGAGGGCGTGTAGCACATTTTGGCATGCGGTCGTGTCATTGCTCCTCTGCGGCGAGTACAATGCCTTTAAAAGTGACGGCGCTACGCCTCTCTAAGTAAAATCAATTCTGAATCAATCGCTCGCACTTTCCGAGATTCAACGGTGAATGGGACCCCCACCATGCAACTTGTCCTCCTGGACATCTGTGTGAAAGAGCTTTATAGCTCATCGGATTCTTCCAGGAAACATCAATATTCTGAGTATGAAAAAAAGAATAGGTTTTACCATTTCTGGTGATAAAACAGGAGGTGTTAAAATGTTCAAACACCAAATAGAAACCTTTTGCAAAGAATCAAGTCTGCATTAACCACTCGTATTTGCGGCGAACGAGCAAACAAACATGCTCTGATCAATTTCGATTTAAAGCTTTCGTGACTGCAGGGATTCATCTTCTTGGTTCTTTCGGTAAAGTCACGTAGAAAGGAAATAATAAAATAATAAAAATAAAACATAATAAAATAATTCTCACGACGTTTCGGCCACAACGCAAGCAGCCGTCCTCAGGTGAAGATGCTCTGATAATGTACGCATTGTGTTTGAAACTGCTTTGTCCCACACCGTGATATTCTGATTCTGAACTTGCACTTGTCCCGTAATGGGAACGGGTTCAGACTTGCGCGTGACATCAGTGGCACGGCTCGGCTTGTGCAGTGGAAAGCTAACCCCTGTGCCTCCTGGTCAATGTCGCACTGGCTCGACACAGCATCAAGCACGGATCGCTTGTGCAAGTGAAAAAGAGGAATCGGCTTGTTCCATCCATGCACTGAACGGAGGAATTCACTCCACAGCGCACACGAGCAAATATACAATGATGACGTAAATACAAGGCAGCTGTGGGCACGTGCTGCTCGGTGGATTATTACGTTGCTGGATCTTGAGATGCGGTGACAGCTCGTGGAGGCTTTCATCCAGCAGTGGATCGACCACAGCGGATGATGACTATGATATAGGATCAAACTGGCAAACCGCCGGATGTTAAAGGCAAAGAACCCCTCTTTACAATATGGGTCCCAGTTCGAAATAATAATTTGTGTCGCTGGCGAGAATATAAACAACAAAAGAGACGATCATTTATCTGTCCCTCCACCGAGAAGTCCTCTGTGACTGATTACAGGGAGGAGTTTGGTTCCAGAGGTCTGTTCGGAAGCCGATTTACTCGCAAGTCCAACTTTACTCCTGTCGATTCCAAACATGCCGGTACGGCGTGTACACTAGACACGGGAGAACGGCTTTGAAAATTGGATAATCTCCTGTAGATACCACTTGTTCTTCTTACTACCACCCTCAACACTGTCACCACTCTTACGCTTCTGAGACATGACGGGGGTTGATAACGTTCGTGAAAAGCAGAGAGAGCATCGTAGTGAACTGCACAGCGACAACACAACAACATACAACAGTGGCAGCCCAGGCAGAAATGCAGGGAATGCTGGGTAATGACATCGAACAACCACCGGCATCTATTGCGCGCGGCAGTTAAACTTACGACTCTCGGTCTGAACAGGCAACTGAACATATGGACCGGCTTGTTTGTGTCTCTGAAAGTACGTAAGTCGAATGTTTCCGTAAGTGGAGGAGTCCCCGTATAACCGCTGGAACGTCGGCAGTACCAGCTGAATTACCGTCTCGGCCTTCACCGTAACGAGGCAGCTGTCCGGGGCGTTCGATTTTGAGACGCTTCAGAAATACTTGTGCGCATAAAAAACGCAGCTTTATAATTGTTGAAACTCGATGCTGTTTGCACCGTGATGAAAATAAAATAAGTGATAATTTGATCAATCAAGCCATGGCATCACCCGAGCGTATTTACTGTTGGTTACTATGCACACTTACTCAATTCATTCATTCGCACACTCACATGAACTTATTCATTTACCCACTCACATCAACTATAGCAGTTGAAATGTAATACAGTGCTCTCACACGGTGATAGAAAATTAAAGGTCATTTTGTAATTATAGCCACATAATCATTGTGTATTATGACCAAAGTGCCAAGTTTTTGAAACTTTGATTTCGATTTACAATTGGCACATTTAAACCAGAAATGAAGCAACCGATTATTTTTATTTTTATTAACCGATGATTTAATTTCATTTATAATTTTTTTTATTATCTTTTATTTCTATTTTCTATCTACGTGACTTTACCGAAAGAACCAATAATATGAAGCCACCAAGGTAAATAATAATCTGTTGTTTTGGCAAGAAGAGGCATTTGGAGGTGAAGTATGGTCAAACCCCCACCCCATGACCGTTACTGTGTAGGAGGGGGGTAGGGGGTGGGGGGCAGCCTACATCCAGCAGTGGATTGACAAAGAGTTGTGAATTATTGCTGTAACTGATGCCTGCTCCAGTCAACTAAAGCCCGCTATAAATAGAGAGAGCATCGTGCATTAAATGGGCATTGGCCATGGCATCGGTTAAACTCTGGCCCACTTAATAATTATAAGAATGCAGCAATTGCTCGTCCATTACTCCTTTGTATATGTACCCGAGGAAAAGCCTCGGCAGTTTCTCTCAACATTTATTTTTCTGGAGAGTTCAGCCCGAGATATTTGACCGTGGGACACAAGCCGGGTTAAAGTCACGTGTGGAATGAAAGGGGAGAGACCGCACACACACATCACACGCTAGGAGGATGTGCTCTCGGTCTGTGTTTTAAAACAATTTGAGTTTCAGACCGATCCGTGCGAATGACGTCGTCGCCTCCGTGCTGTCCCCACCAATCGCGGAGGTCGCGTTTACAAAGTCGGGCAACGTCACTCTCGCGAACGACGCGTTACATTGTCACGTCGATGCGACAATCCGAAGAGGAAAAAAAAAGAGATCCGATAATTGCCCTAAAAGCATCCGAAATGGGACATTTCCAAAAATCTAAAACTCATCCGTTACATTCAAGATTGGAAGTGACTGCAAGGATCTATATTCTTTGGTTCTTTCGGTAATGTCACGGATGTAAAAAAATGAAATAAAAATAAGAGATAAAAATATAAAAAAATAACACACACACGCGCGCGTGCGCGCTTGCACCAGATAGTAGCGGTCTAAAAAAAATGTCCACATGCATAGGGCAGCAGCCTACTTGCTGTGCTGCCTCTTACCAGGCATCGAGATGACCGCTGAGCTCCACGCGACCCACCGACCAAGAGTCTGGATTACTGGGCACGCGCCGCCGTACCCGCAATTATCGCGGTAGCGGCGATGAAACTTGTTCATGATGCGATATAAAATTTCACGAGATTATCGTGACATCAGTTTCCCGTATTGTTGTAACTGTTCATTTGATTGTCTTGCTTTTGCGCTTTGCTGTACGTCCCGTACCGTAACACTTTCATGTTCTCCAAAGCGCAGGTCACTCAACATCAGTCTGCCCTTTTAATCGCGACAGTGTGCCACGCTTGTAAGGCACCTGCCATCCGGTACAACATAAACAATCTGTGTAACTACGAAAAATCATGGAAAAATAAGAAAACGAGCAACAATAATCGCGTAACAATATATTGAAGGAAAAAAAACAGCCTTCATAAAGGTAAATAATTTTTCTTTCAAAAAAGTGACGGGAAAGGCGCAGCCCTGCAATAGCCTGCTCACACCACTGCTGGCAGAAGCGCCTCTATTCGAGGGAGGCCCCTAGAGAGCCCCTTCGAGCGGGTATTTTGGCCTCCTCTTCAACACTGCCGATCGACCGTGGTTGTACACATTTAGACTCACCGTGCCGGGAGATGGAATCGAACTGGTGACCTCTTAATGCCAAGTCCAGTGGGCTAACCATGAACGCCACCGTACATACAATACTACGCATGCTCTTTGGTTCTTTCGGTAAAGTCACGTAGGTAGAGATAAAATTAAATAAATTAAATCACGACGTTTCTACGCATGTTGAACTTCTTTCGCACCGTACGTAGCCAACCGCGCTTATCAAAGGCGCCGGTGAAGGACAACGTGGCAGGAGCAGCAGCAGCAGCACGGCCACCAGTCAACGACCACCCCGTCGCGAATCTCAAACCCCGCGGTTCACCATCGTAGCGTCGCCGCACCGCAGAAGCCCTTACCCGAAATTCAGCACCGGCTGGGCCACGGCTGCGAACGCATGGAGCCGACCGTTCGAAGCCTGGGCATCGGTGGCCATAGGAGGTGGAGGAAGATGAGGTGGTGGTGGTGGAAGAGGAGGAGGAGGAGTAGGAGGAGGAGGAGCGCGGGACGGACAGCGAGTGGCGGCTGCCTCGGGGATTGCGTTACGAGTGAAAGTAATGACCCCCGGGCAAAGGCGTCTGTGCCATCGCCTTGCCCTGCGCGGTTTTAGTTTTCATCGTCGGCTTAAAAATAACCCGTGGCGGCACGATGACAAGTATTTCTTTAGGGTCGGCGCGGGGTCGTGGGTTGTACGACGCACAATGTCTTGCGTCGCACAGTACAACACGAGACACAGCCCAGCCCAGTGAGCTAACCAACGATATTTTTCGCCTTTCATCTTCACCACCACCACCCACCACCACCCACCGTCGTCGTCATTTTAAATGAACCGATCACTTTACGCAGCACTTGCAATCTATCTCCCAGTGGCGGTTGAAAACAAAGGTGGCAAAGTTTCTTTAAATCCTTCCACCCCACTGCCCCTCTCTCTCTCTCTCCACCCAGCGGCGTAAATGGCTGCACCAGATAGTTCTGATCATGGGCGGGTTTGCGTGTGGTGGGGAAAAGTGTTGGTGCTTTCCCCGCCCCTTCCAGGACGTCTGGCCAGCGTGGAAGAGTAGGCCAAATACCATCTCGAGGGCGACTCTACAGCTCCCTCTAATGGAGGCCCTTTTGACAGCAGTGGCATTAGCAAGCAATTGCCAGGGCTGTATATATATATTTTTATCTTTATTGTTAGGTCATTTCTACTTAAGGAGGATGAGTGGGTGTGTGTGGGGGGTGGGAGCATGACCGGTTTAGATAATCGCTCGACCACAAAAACATACTACAACAACAATACAAAAATAATGTCAGCTTGCAAGGCGCCATGGCCACAGAGTGTTTGGCTCGCCCTCGTGGAGTGGAGAGAGAACGACTTGGAGGCCACAGGAGGAGGAACCGGAGACGAGCCCAGCAGTGGCGGCAGCGGCAGTCAGAGCCAACAATTTCCCAAGGTCTGTGGTCCTTTACACAATGAGGTGTTATCGGCCAATTAACGAGGGTTTATTACGTGTGGGAGGAAACCGTAGCGCCGATATTACCCTTGGCCTGGAATCGAACTGGGGCCTCGCAGAGTGCGCGGACCATTGTGCGCCCGCCCCCTCCCCCCCGTCCACCTCGTTAGCGGGTTTTTAGCCAAGTGCTAAATTTGAAATAGCCGGATTTCGGTTACGACAATGGAAGATAAATGGGGCGCAGCACTTGTGGGAGCGCTTCAACTTTTAGCCATGACCCTGGCAACGCGATGATCTAACCTTGGGAGGAACGTCAACAGGGTCCCACGCACCCAATTTTCTCCACAGCTGACAGTGGCCTGACAATTCCCGGCAGACGATGGGTTTGCAGGGCGATTGTGTGGCAGGAATTGAACCCATGAAACCGTGTGGAATCTAGCTCGGTGACCGAGCATGCTGACCGCCAGGACACCAGCTGCCCAACACAGTGAATCAAAAAAACATTCCAATCGGCTGAAGTGACCGTCATACACACAAATACAAAGATCTCCCTCCCCGCCCCCGTGGTAGCCTTGACAGTCTGTCGGGGCAAGTGCTGTTAGCGAGTAGCACCTTTGATGGCTAGCACGGCGCACAAAGGGGGCGGCTTTGATCAGCATTCACGCCCGGCCACCTTTGTCTCCCCGATGCTGGTGTTTACATACTGCACCAGGTACTCGCAGTCGTTCATTTCAGTTCATTTCAGTTCATATATAATGGTATAGCCCTGTGAGCCATTCGGCTCTTGAATCGGGTGCAACCGCAACAAACAAAACGTGAACAAGAAAACATCTTAAAGTGACTACGCGCAACAGAAAATCCAGGAAAAAACAGCAAAGTCTCCTAGAAAAAGCACCGCATACCAGTAGTAGTACAGCAAGTGGGTTAGTGAAAAGATAACTGTGCAAGGAGATTTGCGGTTGCTCCGATTTGTGTGCCTGCATTTTCTCTGGGTACCCTGGCTTGCCACTGGTGAGATGTTCACTGCCTCTCCTGGTATACAGAAAGTCGTGGGTTCGATCCCAACCCTGATGCCTGCTGTATGTTTGGAGTTTGCGTGTCTCTCTCCCCGTGGTTGCGTGCATTTTTCTCCGGGTCCTCCAGTTTCCCCCGCTCCATTTAAAATCAACACGCGTTTAGAGTATTTGGCGGCAATACATTTTCACGTCATACTGTAAGCCACTTTCTTGAGCTATCATTTGTGGCCCGGTCGCTTCTGACAAAAAAAAACTATACAGCTCAGTGGGCCTTACCTGGTAAAATAAAAAAAAAATTGGTAAGTTTTTATCTAAAAGCACAAAAGTAAGTACTCAAACTGTAACAGGCCAAAATATCTCAAACCTGGAACTTCCTGAAATAGAATTTCCTTCTTTGATCTGAATTAATATATCACTTCTGGAAAATCCCTTAAGATGGGACATTTCAACTTTGCAAGGCTGATGAATTCACAGAGGTTTGTAATGGGTAAATATTTCAGAATTATATCTTTTAAACAAAGATGACACTCCGGATTTAAAAAAGAGAACAACATTCTATTCTCTCACCTGTTTATATAAAAAACCCCCAAAAAAATTAGGCACTGGACAACAGACACCCTTGCAGAGAGAAGCTACCCCTTACCTGTAAGGAACTCAGAGACAGGAAACCGGAACCACCAAACAAACATGGCCACTATTGCGTAAAAAAAGCCGTTTATTGTGCACGGTTTTTGTTTTAAAACAAACAGAATCCCGGCACACAAACCTCGCATTGTGCTGCGTTTTCCTAGCGCTTTTTCCCCTCGCTCGTTCTTTTCACTTTTGCGGCTATTGAAGCCTCCCAACAAAAAGTGTCTATGAAAATAAATATGCATCAATGGCGGAGGGTTGGGGGGGGGACAGTCAATACAATTGGTATAGTGGCGGAGTTGTGACAATGTAAAGTTTTGTTTGTCCGCTTAATGTAGGTTACCCCGCACTCATTTCTGCAGTGGCCTTGTCTTTTTAACCGTTATTCATGCCACTCATTTGAATGCCCTTTGATGTTCTGCACCTACCACCCCCACTCCGTTTTCTGCCAATCACCGGTAGCAGCGCCCACTTCACAGAGATGGGTAGAAGAACAAAGTGTTTTAGTTGGTTATGAGAGCCAGGTTAGAATCCAAAGTTGTTTTTATTTTTAAAAGCTTTTTTTTATATTTAAATGTTTTTAAAACTGATGACGTTCTCATTTGTACTGCATAGTCTGGATTTGTTTTTGCGTAGCCGGGTTGATGTTTTGAAACTGCGTACAAATAAACATAAACTACGCTTGAAATTGACAGTATTTGCTGAATGGGGTGTTTGACAGAAGCTTCCTTCACTCTGCTGTCCGGATATGGAACTGCCTCCCTGAACACATTGTCGGTGAAATCACCGATTCTGGTCTCCAGGCCTTCAAATGCGTCTTTGAGCTGCAGTGAACCAATGATTACGCCGATTAAGTGTACTAATGTCTGATATGGCTAATGTTCACAATTGCACCCAATAAACCAAATAGAGTACATACAGTTTCACTGGGAATCACCTCTAAACTAAAAACGGGTTTATTGTACTATTCAAGTACAATACAGGAGAGTTATATTTGAATTGCACTGGAGGCCTAACTTTGCTATGCGGCCATTTTGTTGTTGGTGGTGTAGACATCAATACACTGGATTGGACAGGATTCTCATCTTCAAGCCGGTCTATTAATCGTGGGTGTGTACTACTAATCTTTTGTTCCAAATAAATCAACATCGTTTACGTACCATTGTAGTTGTCAAATGTTAAAGCAAATACAAAAAAAGCATGGGTATCCAGCATACTGATTTGGTATTTTGTTGATATTTACCAGGGGAATTTCATTGAATATTTCCCTCCTTACTCACTTTAGAAATGTTCTACATCTGCCCGTGAATTTCAGCATCCTACATATTGTCTGTATGTATTTTGAACTTCTAATGACTGTTGAGAAAATAAAGTGGACAAAGATCTTGAAGAGTTAATGGCCAATGGCTGAGACTGGTGATGGAATATTAGCCCAAGGAGGGATGACACAAGAAGAGGATGACCACAACGGAGGAGATGCAGCGATTGGGATCGGCTCGTGTACGGCGGCGATGTGGATCATGATGTCGCAAGATCGCAACAGAAGGTGTCAATACGAGAGGTTGTCAACTGCCGTGATACATCCACTACTGGATGATGATGATGGTGATAATGTAGGTGAATTGTTTTCACACAAAGCTACGGCCTCATGCTGTCAAAGTTCATCGTCACACAGCATACGCACCTGTATAAGAAACACATCTCTCAACATCATTTTCCAGATCTCATTGTCACTTTCTGCTGAGCTCTGAATTATTTCTCTCCTGATCATTCAATGCTTCTGATCACTTTCAATGTACAAATACGTTTTTTATTCCAATCCCTATCTCCCCAGATCACCGAAGCTAAACAGTGATTTGTCTCTTTCACCACCATTAAATCTCAGTAGGTATCTCTGTTACTCTAATTCCATCTCTCTAGGCTGCCTCACCTTTTCTGTCTAACTCTAGCCTTACTTATCATGTCTCTCTCCGTCTGTCCCTCCCTCGTGTTTATCCGTGTCCCCCAATTATTATTTCTCCATCTCTCCCACAACAGCAACTGCCTGACTCTCTCTGCTCAATCCCTCCCTCCGTCCACACACAAGAATACAAAGCTCCCCCGTGTAGCCGACACAGGCTGTTGGGGCAAGTGCTGTTAGCGAGCACCTATGAAGGCCGGCAAGGCGCACAAGAGGGTGGGCGGTAGGGTGGTGAGAACCAAGCCCAGCCACCTTTGTCTTCCCTTGCTGATGTTTACACTTCACCCCTCCCCAGCAACCATGGAACGTTGAGCCAACGTTGTGCCACTACCACAAAACACAAAGACAAAAGATCCCCCGTACATCCAACACAGACGATTGGGACAAATGCTGTTAGCGAGCACCTATAACGGCCGGGACGGTGCATTAGTGTGGGCTGGTGTGGCCAGCACTACGCCTGGTTGCTCACTACCACA